AATTCCCACTGATTTGAGTACACTTCAGGAAAGTTAAAAAGAAATTACACATTAAACTTCTTGAAACTTTCAGAAAGTAGAGTTCAGCAATAAAAAAAAGGAAAAAAAAAAAAAAGGGAGGCCCTTGATCACTTCCTGTGATCACTTCCTTCCAAGTACTGCTGTGACTGGGTTTTCTGTAAGAGAAAAAGTATGAGTACTGGCACATACTTGGTGCCATGGTGGAATGAGCCAGGACACCACAGCATGACTTGCTAAAACTTCAAGTATGTACGCCGTCACCCCTCGCACTTATCATTGAAGAAGAAGCCTCTGTCAGATCTTCTGTGTTTCTGTTCTGATCACTATCTGGCATATCCAAGAAGACTTAGAGCAGCTGGAAATAAAACTGAGTTTTGTGGACCAGAAATTAAGTACTTGGTGGTTAATGTGCTCAATGTCCACTTGCAGAGCCATTCTGCCCCATACACTGCAAACGTTGTATTTCTATGATATCTGAAGCCATTATAGGATTCAAGTGTAATTCGAGTGTAAGGATTCAGCTAGTGGAGTTTTGTCAAAGTAGAAATGTTAAGGACTTTAGGATTTTCAGACTGGTCTTTAAAAGGCTAAGAACTGTCAGAACAAATCAGCTCCATATTTTAATTTCTTACTGGTATACAAAGAAATCTGAATTTCTTTCTATGGCAAACTTTTCTCTTTAATCTAAAGAATTTGCCTATTTTTAAACAAGAATGATACATTATTCTTTCATCTAAGGAAGAAACAAACCCCCAAAACCTAATGCCTACTGGTGTCTTTACTCTTCTGAAAATTTCTAGAGGTGGTAGCAGTAGGCAGACAGTAAGCATACCACACTTTGATATAGATTTGAGATTTCTGCCAGTGAAAGATGGCACTGTAGTGCCAAGCATGATCTCATCTCTTCTATCACACACTAATTGCCATTACTGATACTGTATAAACCCTCAGTGTCTCAAGCGAAGGTCACAGTTTCATGAATATACTACTAATAAAAGCAGTCATCCTACACAGATGCAAGACAATGAAGAAGAATATGGATCTTTCTCACCAATCTGAACCATCTGAACAATATAATTTCAAGCCACAACACCTAATACAACTTTGTTTAAAATACAGCCCTTGCTATTATATGTTTCATGCTGCACCACTCTTAATAGAACATTAAGTCATGCCAGGCTGATTTATGACAAGAAAACTTCCCAGAGCGGAGTGAAATGCATCACACAGTCACATTGCACACTTAAATGTGAATAGAATGCATTTAATTAGTCTGAAATTTGGAAAATTCATGGTAGGTGTTTCTCCCTTCTCCAACATGGTAGGGAAGTGACATTTTTGTAACTTGGTTCCTTAGTTAATTCCAAATACTTAATTTCTACCCAGGTGGCAAAAGTATCTAGCTTTTTGCTGCATGTCACTTTTTTCTGGGAAGATTAGTCATAGCATATGACAACAAATTAAGTAAACTTGACTTACTGCAAGGCAATTGAAATGCAAAGAACTGTATTTTCACTTGGACGCAGTTGAAATTAATTTCAAAACTGAGTACTCTGTCATCTGAATGACTCTTTGGATGATTAGTAAAAAGGAAACTGAAACATGAGACAGATCATCCCAGATCTTCTACTCGAACTTTAGGTCCTCTGTCTCAAGGTAGTATAGCAAATACTTTTGGAAAGAGGGTCAGTGTTGCTTTCAGTGGGACTATATGAAACTTTTGGGTTCCTCCCAACTTTTCTGCTTCTTTTAACAGCTATTCTCCTTCCCAACTCCCATAAGAAATCCAGCAGAATATGCAAGTGAGAAAATACTTAACTTGCTCATCTGGAATATCCATCTAATGAGTGAAATAAAAACAGATATGGTCTAAACAGGGATAAATATCTTGTTTCCTAAATCTGTCTGTTGTAAATCCTGTCGGAAATCTTTTCAGAAGGTTATAAATAAGAGAACATCTATTTTAGAAACAGACAACACATTTATTCCTAGCAGCAGATCCAAACATGATGAGTAATCTGGCATAGAGCTGCTAAACTCACCAGCTGCCATCCACCTTGGGCAGAACCATACCTCATTTTTTTCTCTGCTTGAACCTAACATAGTCCTTGGTAATCCCACTCTGGAATTTTCCACACAACATGGAATTTAAATAAAAATATTACAACTAACAGAATGTAAATACTTGAAACAGGCAAAAAACTGAATAAAAATGAAAATGATTCAGTTTGCAAAAAGAATTGCAATCCTGGAACACTAAAAAACATTCCTCTATTCTTCAGTGACAAGGCACTGAAAGAAGATGTACATAGATAATTCTTATGTGTCACAAAAGAATATAAACTTTTAAATTGCTCCCCTGAAGTTTAACATATAAAGAAATATATTTAATTATATTATATAATAATATTATAAATATATTTATATTTTATATTTATAAATATATTTCTGTTACAATGTCATCCTCCTAGAGATCTGTGAGCTTAATAACATTTAGTAGTGTTTGCTTTAGCTTCCTTTATGTAAGGAGAAGTATTTTTACACTGCATTCCAGTTAATTTCTTGAGCAAAAAGATGCTACAAAATTTGACTCACCATTCCTGTCAAATAACAATTTTAACAGAAGATTGTTTGGGCTTCCAGGTGGGAAACTGATGGCGGAGAAGGAGGTTACTTTGTTTTGCTTTATTGGTCTTTAATTTTCAAAAAACAGGATAGGTAGTCACCTGCTTTGCCTACTCTGGACTGAGACAGAGAGACACACTGGAGAAATCAGCTTCATTTCAGGCCCTTATGCAAAAAACAATAAAGGCATACACTATCATAAGGACAGCATTGCCTTTTCTACAGGTACAGGATCAGATAAAAGTGACTGAAAGTGATCTGCTTGTATACAGCAATCACCACACACACACTTGTATGGGAGTTCTACATCTTAGATTTGGGGTTGGACTTATTTACTTAACAATCTTCTCCCCATTCTCAAAGATAATCACTAAATTCAATAATTTGATAAAGACCATATGACCATATAATAATTATTTTGAAGTAGCTATTCTAATTTAAGTTTCCGGAATAAATAATGTAAAGGAATACTTTTTGTACCAGATGTTCACTTGTAACAAAATAAAAAAGCATAAGCAGAATATATAACAAATTGACCACAGCTGGGTCACACAAGGGGATCATATACCTGGACAAAAAGTAACTTGAGACCATGGGCTTCTGTATAATCTTTGGAGATGGAATCATGGATGACTAAACGTCCTGAAAAGTCTTAAAAAAGAATCAATGTTCTGAAATGAGACACCACCAACACTGCTGAAACCCATCATTTTCTTGTGAATCTCCAGTCATTTATTTCATGTGGCTTTCACAGAGCCTGAAACAGTCTCTGCTTTGTGATTTTTTTTCTTGCCTTTCTTTTAAGAGTGAGCAAAGTGAGAAAAATATCTAGAAGTAAGAAACTTCTAATCTTGTAGCATTTTCTTAGTGAATGCAGAAGGAGTTTTCATTACTAGCCATAAAGCCTTCCCCCTCAACATGAGAGATTTACATTAGAAGCATACTAAATTCATACTACAATTTCAAGCAAAAAAAAAAAAATTTCTTATGAGTTTACTCCAGTTTTACAGTTACAACTCCTGGGAATTAATTTCTTGAGAACTAGCATAATGCCAAAGTAATACATTAATGACTGGGATTTAAAGCTTGCTATCAAAATCCCAAATGAAGAACAGTGAATTTCCATTCTGCACAGGGTATTCTCCAGGTATGTGGTATGAATAAGCCATATCATGACTGTGGAGGTACTTATCTTGGCTCTATGTATGCTAGTTCAAGCAAGCGAAATAGCATGGGATCACCTTAGTTCTGGAAACAGAGGCCTAACCTGGATTTTGTCTTTGAATTATTCCAAGCTCTCTTCCTCCAACTTGTAACAGTGAAGAGCTGACACAAGTTCAAACTCACAAACTTTAGTCAAATGCATATCTAACATAAGTTTTGACTACATAAAGACAGACCAAACCCCTCTGCAATCTCACCAATACATGCTTTGTGCACTAATCCATAAAATCAGAGAAACCATATTATTATTCTAAAAGATAAATCTGAACACAAGCTACAAAAATCAGAGAAGCAGTCCAACTGGTTAAATTATTTAGAAAATCCACATAGGCACAGAGTAAACATCCGTGAATGAAAATTAAATAACATATTTGGGATTTCTCTGAACACCAAAAGCAAATTTCAGCTACCAACAGTTGCAATTTTTCCATTATGCTCAGTTAGATTTTTATAAATTTTCAGAAATAATTTCAAAGGTATAGGAAGGAATCAAATTTTCAGTGTGTGGAAATTCAAAATCCAGAGGTTGTCTTCCTCTGGACTTGCTATTCAAAACAGTCTGCATCCCATACAATGCAGTCCAAAACACATTCCAAGATGACTCAAGGGCAAAAATTAGTGATGAACTTTCTTAACAAGCACGGAAATCTACTCCATCCCCTCTTCAATTTCAGGACTACTTTCAAAACTCTTTGAAAGACGGGACATGCAAAGCCTGTGCTTTTACTGCTATGCAGTAAAAGCATAATGAGCTGATCATTTAGGGCCTGATAGAAGCTCACCGAAGTCAATACAATCCTTTCTGTTGATTTCAATGGCTTTTATACCAGGCCCTTAAATAGACTGTTAAAAACGTCTAAATGAGTGATTTTGGCTCAGTATCACCACACCCACCCTGTTTTGCTGATTGGTATTTGTTGGTGATTTGGCAAATGTGTTTCTACATGACACAGCATAAAATACAAAGTTAAGAAATAGCACTTTGTCCGTCAAAATCACTTGCCTGGTTGTTAGACAGTTAAAACTATTAAGCACTGGCTGCCAATTTCGGCCAGGTAAATGCTGTTGCAAATGAAAGATGAAGCATTGTGTGAAGCCATGCTAAAATGGATAGAAGGATGGTTACTTACCAACGGGGCGAGCTGTTGACATTACAATGGTGTAGTGAGAACATAAAAAAGAAATTAAAAAAAGAAAAGAATATCTGTCAGAATGCATGACGTGTAATGTTACCTTCCACTATGGATACTACCATGATTGTTAACCCCTCAAATGACAGCCTAAGTAAAATGTTTATTGTTGTTACTGTTTACTTATGTGCCCCTATTATCACATTTACTTGAGCACAGCATCTGAACAAGCTGACTGGAACCATTCTCTGAGAAATATTTCTATTATCTTCACGTGCCATCATCAAGTATCATTGCTAATGCCTGATAAAAGAAAAATTGCATTACATTAGCACAAACTTTTAGATCCCGATGAACACATCAATTTAAGCCGCAGACTGCCAAGTGTCATGCCAGTAGATGCAACATGTTTGTTTTCTGAGTCAAATACCAATTGAATTTTAAGCATGGCCAGTCAGTACAGCAGTAAGGGCTACAGAAAGCCCAGGACAGCTTTTCTCATTCAATACTGGGCATGAAAGCTTACAGCACACTGCTTTTTCCTCACTGACAGTGCTGATGAAAATACGACAAAGAGGCTGAAATGGCCACAGGGAATTCAACCCAGAACCTCCCAAATTACTGCTTAGATAACTTCTACTTCCTAAAAAAATTGCTGCTGAATGATCAACAGTTTAATACTGCTTCAGGTTGATATCAAGATGGAAAGCTGCTGCTGCAACAAGTGATTTCTTGATTATAGCAACAACCCTTCATTATACTTGTGCTGGGGAAGCGGGGCTGTCAGTCCTTCTGTTAATAAAATACAGATATCCCCTTTCAGAAGAGCTGAAAAGTTGCACGTAAAATTCACCCAGGTAGCATTTGGGTAGGCCAAACTTCCCTTATCTTAGCAGGAGAAGAAGTTATATATTTCTGAGCAACAGTAATTTATTTTTTTTTAAAGATAACCAGCTCTGTATGCTTATATGCAGGCTAGGGTCAAACGTAAGATATGCAGATCCAGAGGTAACAGAGTATGCAAGGACCCTCTTAGTTCTCAGCCCTTCTGCAGCTTTATCCTTATTTTGGCATACCCACTTCATTTAACTATTTTAAGCCTGCTGCCCTTTCTCACCCATCACCTATTGGAAGCTTTTCTCTCTTCTGGTGTTATGGACATATTCCTTCTTCTGCAGAGAGAGAAGGAATAAGAGTGATGTGCACTTTTCCAAGAGAGGACATGAAGGCTGAGCCACAGAATTAAAATTCTGGTATTGTTTGTGACAGGGTAATGCAAACTGACTGCATCCTCATCCTCTGCTTTGAGAAGATGGAGTCATGAATGAGGGATCCAAGGATAATGCTAGATTTGAAGCTGTAACCACATGACACCAGTAAGGATTAAGGCATCCTGGAAGTAAATTTTGAAGTGCTATGTATTTTTGCTCCTCTACACAATGAATGGTTATGCTAAAAGCAGTTTCAGACAAAACTGGCAAAAATTTAAGAATTCAGAATTAAGGCTTCCTTTAATTAAAAGAACTGCTGTTCATGGTCCCTTAAAAGTCAATGGGCGTTTGCACAGTCCTTTGCTTTCAGAAAATTCAGAGTAATAATGTTCTCCATTGAATTTCTTGGCTTTTCTCATTTTCTGTCATATCCTGAACATTTAATATGCTTATAACATCGTGGCTTCCTTTGTGTTGGATAAACACTATGAATTTGGCTATAAATGACAAACCCAGGGGGGAAAAATACCCAAGATAATGAAAACCTGCTTTTACTGTAGGAAAATCGATTAAATTATATATTTCCTCGGGTTTTTTTCACCTTAATTTCATCAGGTTCAAGCTTCAGTGATTTCAAAGGATTTTTTGCTTGGTTCTAGCTATTGTTTATATCACCAGTCTGGGTAGCAAATCTTGCTCCAATAATGTATACACAGTTCTAGGAGTGTTTAAAGGCTATCGAATTGGTTGCCAGATTTATTGGATACCATGATACTGCCTGTGACAAAGAAACAAAGTGAGAGCATTTCTGGGAGTTTGTTGTAGTGACTATTTTTCGCACATTACGAAATGGAAGAACAATCTCTTACATATAAGCATGTAGCAGGTAAACCTATTTCTTCAGCTTAAAACGGGAAGAGCTGTATTATCACTTATTGTCTAAAGCGAACACCGTGGTAATATTTCAGCACATGGATTATCACAATACTTTCTTCTCTTTGTTACATACTAACATCTCTTCCCCTACAAAGCCACTCGGTAGGTTTTTTTTTTCCCTTTGAATTCAGCAAATTAAACTGAACTGTGTCCATGCATTAAATGGATGGAAATGGAAGCTGGCCTCTTGGGTCAGTTGACCCCAGTTCTAATAAAGCAATCCATTGAGACTTTGAACATTTGATTTAATGTGTATGAAAAGAGAAGAACAGATAAAGCTAAAAATGTTTTTATTAACCTTTCACATCTCTACTGAAAACCGTCAGCATGCACCACTAAACTGTGAAATAGTGTCTGCATGATATCTATTGTGCCAAATTGCTGCTTATCTTTCGGAATGAAGTAATAACTATTATATTCTATTTACTCATATGGAAATATTAGCCTAAAAACTTTTTCTCTTCCCATAATCTTTAGCATGTCTGTATCTACTGTCACAAAAGACATTTTGGCAACTCATTATTCTACTGGTCTTAAAAACTCCTTACCACATCAAACAGCAGCACATAAACACTGAGTGTATACTAGAGACCAGGAATATTTTAGAAGAGAATATGTTAGTCTTTACCTTGTAATAATTACAAAATTTAATTAGGATTTTCTTTTTCCTTTAGCTGGGGTTTATCTTTCAGATAAAGAATAACAGCAGAGAGTTTAATTATGGCACAGCTAATAGCATAATAATACTATCTGCATTATGTTTGGCATTAATAAACATAGTTACTTACTACACTCCTTATACTTATTAGAGAAAGGAACATGAATAACAGCATAAACTGATGGCTCACATATTAAAGTGCCCAGAGTTACATAGTGCTTTCTTAAGCATATGTATGCATTGGTTCTTCAATAAAAAAACATTGGAGAAGCTTTTTAACTGCAGGGAGATACTATCCTATTGAAGTCAATTAAAATTTTGCCTGAGATATCAACAGAACCAGGATTTCACCTTTGCTGTAAATCACTGCCAGCACCCGCAATTGCAAAGGATATGTGAAACCCAAACAATGCCAGGTGAGGATGTGGCCCATTTTGTCAGAAAGCAATTTATTCATTTACGACAGAGGCCCTCCCTCCATAGGAACACTCACCTCGCACAGTGAGGGTAGCAGAGGCTTCCACTTTTCCAACTCGATTCTCAGCAATGCATGTGTAGGTTCCTTCATCTGTGCTCATCGCCTTCTTAATGCGCAAAGTGTAGTCATCTTTGATGTCATACCTGTATTACAGAAAAATAATGAAAACTCTTTCTGTAGACAACAGAAATGAATGAAAACTCTCACCTGGTGTATGCCAGTCTGAATCTATCTTGCAGCCAGCTTTGGAAGATAAATTATTATCTAGCACTAGATAATTCCACCAAGCATTAATCTTCATGACATTTTTATTGCACTCTGCATTAGTTAGAAACTTTACATAAAATTAGTATTGCTATGTTCACCCAGTATTAGGGCTTTATTAATAATATCATTCACTTTGTCCTTGATCTAGAGCAATAAGATAAAATTAAGCTATCAGACATCAGTTATCAATACAAGACAGTTCAGGTTTATCATGCCCTTAACTATGTGAACTACACATTTTACCTTTTGCTGATTTGGAAATTTCCCTTTATATATAGTTCTTCTCTACTGCAGCAACCCCTTAGGGATACTGTGAGCATGTTGGTAGGATCTGACACTACACGATTACAAACAATAAAAAATATATTTAAGCTCTGGAAGGTGGCATTTATTGAAGAGGCACATTAAAGAAGATTTATCAATTTCACAGAAATACTACAAAGTGATTCATTAATGGTGGACAGTAATGTTTTCTCTTTCTTAAAAGAAATTAGAAACAATTCAGTTATGCTTTGTCCATTTCCTTGTTTTTACTGTTGTAATAAATCTGAAACTATGAGGATGTATAAAACTTGAAATAATACAAAGTAATTCAGCATGCAGTGAACATTCATTCTCAAGGCATTTAGAGTGCTTACACCTAGAAAAAATATTTTCAGTTAAATTGTTATTATCCTGCAGAAGTCATGCTTAACAAACTATTTTAGGCTCTGATCCAAAGCTCATTAAAGTCAACAGGGGACTTTATCTTGTATGAAATGCCTTTGGCTCCCAAAGCAGGAAAACCCTGGTTTTCAGCATGGATATTTTACTCTTGAAATACTCTTTTGTAAAATTATTTTCAACAACCTTTCTTCTAGACATAATAAGCCCATGATACCTTAAGTCATCTTGAATCTAGAGGTAGCTTCAGATTCTCATGTATCAAACAGTGAGACAGGAACACAAAACTAAAGAAAGATTGAGACTTCAGATGACATCAGTAGTCTTTCTCACTACATACACACTCATGACATAAATTCAGAACAACTAATTTACGTTCTCTGTTATAAAGCAAAGACCTCATAGACTTGTTCACCAAACATATTGAAATCATATAGAAGAGCATCCTTAAATGTTTTGATGACAAAGAATGCAATGGAATTAGTTACAGGAATGTTGTATTTGGGAATCTGAAGCAATAAATTCTGTGTACATAATATACATTGCTATTGGTTCCTTTATTATCAATTTGTAGAGAGAGCACTGTGCTCTAACAGACTTTAAAGCATCTTAACTCAAAAGGACCCTGTGTGATGAAACATTTAAAGTTCTGTTATGTCTAATTAATGCTCACAACATCAATTAGAGCATTACTAGCAATTCCAAGAATAAAAAGAAGTCAAGACATCTTTTCACATTCACAATACAATACAGCTTCATTCTGTATTCAGTAAGTCCATTTCAATCATTAGCAAAAAAAAAAATAAATTAAAAAAGACCAAATTGAGGCTACCCATTCTGTCAGAGATAAACATAAACACATATAATACGCCTTTTGTTAGGATTTAAACTTAATTATATCTATATGCAGTACCTCAGATATGCCAAGGGGAAGAATAAGTAGGTGCCATGGCAAACTTCAGAAACTTTTAGAGACAACTTTTTTACTAGTGTAGTATCATTATGTGTGTGTATGTGCTGGGGGTGAAGTTATTATGCCGGAGAACTTAATATGCAGTTTCTGGAGCAGTAAAGATCTATTGCAACTACATTCAACAGCCATATGCAGTTGAGGCACATTTCTTCTTGACTGCTCACAAATGATGTCATTTTGCATGCTATGCTGCACTAGTCAATGGCAAATAGAAACCACTGTTTTCATAGGAGAGAAAGGCAAATTGTCTCCCTTTAAAATCTCAAGAATACGACAACAGTATCCCACAATGATGGAGCAGTTATTTGTCTTTGGCGACCACAGAGTTGCAGACAAGAGAAAATGCTTATTTTCTTGACAGGAAGCCAGCCCTAGGGAACTAAAAATATCAAGTTGTATTCAGCTCCTGCAAGATGGATCAGAAAACTACGATGAGCTTTAACGTAAATGAGTTTGATACAAGAATCATAGTTATAAAGCTAGGCAACAATTAACCATTTATTTAATTGTTTGTTTGTTTGTTGGGTTTTCTTCCCCGGACAAATCACATCCCTGTGGTTCGCTTACTGCTGGCAAGATAAAAACAGCCAGGCAGCAGGGCTGTCTCTAACCGAGCGGCTGCTTGAACGGGGACGCAGGCAGCCTGGGACGGGGCCCTCCAGTCTGCTGTGGGCTGCAGCTGACTCCTCCTTCTTCATCTCATGGATGTGCTGGTGCCGGCATGCCAGCCAGCTGCCTTGGAGGCTTCGGCAGTCTTTATGCTTGCACCTGCCAATCATGCAAATTGTGCAAAGGCTGCTGGGGGAAGGAGCCAGCTGCATGGCATGCCAGGACGCAGAGCGAGGGTACAGCCACCATCTCCCACTTGGGTCGTGAAACGGGGGGTGGCGTAAACATGTCACTTTCATGGCCCAGTTATCAATTACTTCAAGGAAAGGTCCAGCTCTTTCAGTCTGCTTCTCCAGCAAGGCCATACTGGGTTTTTGGACCACCCTGACAGAACGGGCCATCTAGCAATTAGATTCATACATAGATGGACCCATGGGACATTATAACCATCTGCTGTCCTGAAGTATTGATACGCTGCCCCTCAGTCATCTGTTCCACCCACATTGTCCCCAGAAGTCACCATGGTTCAGTGAAGAGCTTTGACAGATGAAGCAGGCAGGAAGGAGAAAGGAAGAAAACTGGCTTGTAGCCTGATCCATGGCAGCACAAGGAGTTTGTGTGGGAAAGGGACCGTGAAGTAACAAGGAGTGAAGCCTCAATATGTTTTCAGTTTCTCAAGCATCCACCTGCACAGTCTTCAACAGTGCCTTGTTTCCTCTCCGCCCCAGAGCCTCATATTCCCATATCAAGATTTTTCCACCTGAGTTTCTGAAGAAATTAACTCTCATCTGCAATAGTTCTACTGAACACTTGCGAACCAGGATCAGAGCCTCTCTGACCGCAAATACCAACCACAGAAGAGTTATCAGGCTCCTGAATTGATGATGGAATGGTGGAAAATCAGAGTGTACTGGTTAAGCTGGTCCTTAATGTTACTAGTGCACTAAGAAGGCAATGCCTTCAAAATATGTGCAGTGTCAAGAAACACCTTCTGACATATTGCCCAAATATTGCTGACTCCTAGCCAATTAATGCCAACATTCGGCTTAAAACATAGGGCGTCAGACATCAGTTTCACATGTTTACGGCCATCTAGTTGAATTTAAGTACTTCTCTTTGTTAAACATTTGGAGGTCCTTAACCTTTCAGTTCAGCTTAGACTTCAGCCATCAGACAGAGCTGGGAGAGGTTTTTTTAAACAGCTAGTCAGCCTGTGCCTAGATATAAACCAGCCACTTTTGGGCACCATGTTACATAATTTCTATTCTACAACTAACAGTTAGAGCAGGTCTGCCTTTAATTAACCGAGAAGGAAGGGGTGGGGGCAGGGGACTGGAAAGGAAGAAAGAAAGAGAGAAACAACAAGCAGATGAGAAAACACTGCTGGTGAGGAAATTCTAATAGAAATTGGGTGATTTTGAGTGAAATCTGGCAGTCTCTGGCACATATGAATGCATTCATTGTTGCTAGTTTTGATTAATGACAGTTGTACAATAGTGTGCTGACAGTCACTGCCATACAGACACAATTTTTTTTTTTTTGATATGAAACACTGCTGAAAATGCAACCCAATCAGATTTGGCCCCTGAACAACATGTGCTATCATCACTGTACCGTGAATTGAGATTGATTGGTAACCAGCTGTGACAAAGTGGGAAAGAGAGCCTTGTCTATTTCAAGAAAAGAAACGAAGAAAAATAAAAAACTGAATTGTGTCAAAACCATTACCATCTGCTCAACCAAATAACAAATAAAGCAAAACACATTAACTGTTTTTAAGTATCACAAATTAATGTACTGAGGTTGGATTCATGCATTGGCTTAAGCATCTAAGAATAATCTTGAATTAAACTGCTTTTGACAGACTTATAATTTTTTTTCCACCACATTCAAAGGTTTATCTGTCCATACTCACCACACTCAGCCACCAATCTTCCATGGTTATAAAAAAAAAAAAAAAAGGGGAGAAAGAATTTGAACTTGGAGAGATTTAGCAATATGCTTTTTTGTATTTGAGATACATTTTACTGAGTGCTTCACAGAGCCCCTAGATTTCCAGATTTTCAAAAATGTGCATGCAGCTATGCATAAAAAAAAATATATGCACCTCTTTGTGTTTCACATGCACAGGTAGCAAAACTGTGTCTGGAGCTGCAGTCCTTATGTTCCCAGCTATGCAAGTAGGCCTAGCTGGTAATACAAGGATGCATTTGCTTCAGCAGTGTATTTTAAAGCTGTAAGAATGCATTACTGAATTCAACAAAACCAACTCAAAAAGTCCTATTACTTGCTGAAGGAGTTTGTAAGAGAAAAAAATCACATCTTAACTGTTGTGAACTGATGCCACTGGCCTCAAAAAATTTACATCAGTTTAGACCAAGCACCTATTTTCTTCTAAAACATTACTGTAAATAATAATAGAAAAATATAATAGAATCTTTGCATGTAGGCTTTGTAGGCTCTCCTTTTTTTTTTGAAGATGGCACAAAAATTGCTTCGCTCTATTTTCTTTTGCCTGTTTGCCAGGCTATTTTGCAAAACACGCACAAAGCTTCAAGATTACTCACAACATCAATGATTAGGGAGCCCAAATAGAGAGATGCTACTGGCCAAAACCAGAGTAAACAGGAG